AGATGGCAAAGCTTCACTTCTCATACTCTGGATATATTGCTAGGAGAGGCTATTCCATGAAAAAGGATATCGTGCTTAGAAAGGTGAAGGGTCAGTCAAAGAGAAGAAGACCTCCATCAAGATGGATTGATGCGGGATTGTAGCACTGAGCTCAAGTGAATCAGAGACGGTAAGGTTGGCAGAGGATAGGCGAGGATTCAGGTTCATAAGGTCATTATGAGTTGTACTTGACTCGATGGCACCTAACACCAGCAACAAAGCAAGTATCTGGCCCATCAGTTAAGGGAATGATAATGTTTAATGGTACCTCTATAAACAAGTATAGGTTTGGATTTAAGTTTGACAATAAATAAGGGAGAAGAAATGCATCAGCATTTGAACCACAGGGTTAGTGAAGAATACTGAATGTACCATGAACTATCAGAAGAACGGTCTATGTCTTGGAATAGTCAAAATGTTTGTTACAAGAAAGGATGACAAAACTTCATCTTATAAATTTGAAAGCTTCAATTTCTGTGTTTTGTACATATTAGGAAGGATCAGTCCCTAGAGAAGTGTACCATGTCTTGGTAAAGCAGAGGTTCAATGAAAAAGAACAAGACTCTCAGTGAAATGGACTCACTCAGTGGCTGTAAAAATGGTTCAAACATAGTAGCATTTTGTTGTGTTGTAAATGGAATAATATCTATTCCCGTGGATATTCATGGAGGCTGGGTTCTTTGAGGAGAAATGTGGCATCAGGATTGAAGGAAGACTCATCAACAATCTGCATTATGCAAATAACAGAACAATGATTGTTGAAACTGAGGAGGACCTGAAGCACTTACTGTGGAAAGTCAGGGACTGCAGCCTTCAGTTTGGATTGAGGCTTAATATCAAGAAAAGAAAGAGTCTCACCACTGGGCAGACTGACAGCATCAGCATTGATGATGAAGAGATTGAGGTTGTTCACAGCTTTAGTTTGCATGGCTCCAAAAATCAACACTCTTGGCACCAGCAGGCAGGAAATTAAAAGATGTATTGCGATGGGAAAGTCTGCTGTTAGGGACCTCTCCTCCAAAGTACTGAAGAGCAATGACGTTACTCTGGAGACTAAGATGCGCCTGATACAGGCCATGGTCTTTGCAACCATTTGCTATGCACCAGGAAGCTGGACAATGACTACGGATGATAGAAGAAGAATTAATGCCTTTGAGCTGCAGTGTTGGAGAAGAGTACTGAATATACCATGGACTGCTAAGAGAACGAACAGGTTTGTCCTGGAGAGGGTGAAGCCAGGCTGCTCCTTGGAGGCAAGAATACTGAGGTTTCATCTGACCTACTTTGGACATGTTGCAAGGAGGGATCAGTCGTTGGAGAGGGACGTCATGCTTGGGAAGGTGAAGAGACAATGCAGGAGAGGAAGATCTTGATGAGATGGATTGATTCAGTGACTGGGTAACGGGGGTAGGTGAGTCAGAGACAATAAGATTGGCACAGGATAAAGCAGGGTTTAGGATTGTTGTACATAGGGTCACTATGGGTCGCTATGAGTCGCAAGCAACTCCACGGCACATAACAACAACATGGAATAACTACAATTTGGAACCAACCTAACAACACCTGACATAACTGGTCTTTATTAATACTTTTTTCATCTGTCACCCACTATTCCCTACCTTTTTGCTCCAATCCAAACAGTTATTTATATTCTGAAAATCCTAGTTTTCTATTTCTCTATTTCTGTCATTTCTCCTCACCCTCACTTTCCTCTGACAAACAGTGCCAATTCATTTTTACCTTCCAAAAGCTTTACAAATCTTGATGTTAACTAATGGTGGTAACCATTTTTCAACACCTTCCTTCCATCCTTAAACCTATAATATATGTAAAGCTCTTACATTACTTACACATTTTTTCAATTTGCTTATAATCTCAAAAGTAGACATATGTGCATGTGTCATATCTTCTAAGACTATAAGCAACTTGAAACAAGAATATCTTACGTATCTTTGGCCGCATACTGCACTTGGAGAATGTTAGGAAATATTACATATATGGGGAATTAATAATAAAATAACATTTATAGTTCATAAGGTAATATAATAAATTTCCTTCAATGCCATGAGTTGTTTTTTAAATCATCTTATTAATTTCCTATAAATGGATAAAAAGTTATTTTTTTTTTCTTCTACGTTAATAGTGTTTTTTACACCTTTTACATGTGTATGAGTCTTTATCATTACTTTGGTTCAGAATATAAAATTGCTTTCCAATGATTCAATTTTATATTACTGCATATACCTATGATCACATACTAAACTGCCTTATCATTGAAAGCAGTATTGCACAGGAAAATGGTTTCTCTAGGGATTGTCTCAAAACCTGGATAAGACAACCCAATATATTTTTTCCCAGAGAGGCTTAGTATAAATATATGTTTATGTTCCTCTCAAAATATATATTCATAATTTTCAGAGTCAAAGTTAAAAAAGTAAACATGTGGCTTTAAGTTCAACAATTAATTTAACTAAGATTTACTGAATTCCTATTATGTGAAAAAGCACTGTGTGGACAGTGATTAGTAAAACATAGTTTTCGCCTTCTGGAACTCATCATTAAATGCACCAGGCATACACATATATAAACAAGTCTAATATAAGGTAGATTATGTAAGTGCTAAAAAGCATCTAACAAGGTACAAATAGAGTGTGGTGAAGAGAAAGACTAATTTTGCCAAAGAGAAAGCTTCAAAGTGAAATAGATGGGTCTTTATTTATATTTCCCTCTCTTTTAATCAAGTTTCAATACTAAAAATGTCACAAAATTATTTTTAAATTAATCTGTTTTAACTATATTATTCACTAGTGTTACAGTGGGATTTGTTCCCCACTAAAAAAGTACTGATTGAACATGGAAGTTAAATTTTAATTAAAAGGACTATTTTTTAAGCTCATAATGAAACATGGAAAAATATTTTCTACAGGTCAGATCTGGTAATTAAATAAGAAGAAAATCAGGGTATAGTCAAGGAAAAGTTCAACATATCCAATAATCTGATGTATTATTTATCGAAAACTGTTGCTGTTGGTTGTTATGTTCTATACTCATAGCTCAATGCCATACCACAGAACCACCAAAGCTAGTCTTAGATAAAGACTGATACTGTTGATAGCTGCCTTCATAGTTGACACATCATCCATAGCAAAGCCAAGCATTTCAGGGTAGAATTATTCCATAGAGCTTTCTTAATTGTAATATTTACGGTAGAACCTGGAGGCACAAAGGGTTAAAGAGCTATATGGGAAAAAGATCTGATGATATATTTCCACAGAGATTACAGTAAAGCAATTCTGAGACACATAAGGATCTCTACAAACTCCCTGACATTTAATAACCTTTATGGAAGCAGTTCATCAGGTCTTTTTTCCATGGATCTGCTTCTTGTTGTTGGTGTTAGGTGCTGTCCAACCAAGTACAACTCATAGCTACCCTAGAACAACAGATCTCAACACTTTCTTATTCTGTGGATCTGCTGGCAAGGTTCACGTCTATTCTAAGTTCAACAGAAGGAAACCTCTGCCCAAACATGTACCATCTTCGCACAAAGACTAGGCACATATAAATGGGTCACCCTATTTTTAGAATTTGTTCAATGTACCAATAATATTTACATTAAAAGAAAACAATAATTTATTTTTATTTCATTCAAACCACTTCCTCCTGCAACATTGGCCTTTTCCTAATATCTGGCCAAAGAGCTGAATCAGACCTTGGAGCTTTTGTTTGTCCCAATAAGCTTCATTGCCACCTCTCTAGATATAGGTACCTCCTTGAAGATTTCCACTGCCATCATCTAACTCTGAACATGTGAGAACTGTATTGACAGATACAAGGACCACATGTCTCAAGCTTAAGAACTTGCACAAAGGGAAAGTCCAGATGACAAACGCAAATGGAGCAAATTCTAAAGGAATAAATTATAATTAACAGGAATGGAGAATATGTAAATGCAGGTATTCTACTTTAACACATCCCCCGCTTACCGCTCCCCCCAATTAAGCTTTAATTACAGTACAGAATTGACTGTAATTATGGAATTTAAGAGTTAAGTAACGACTAAAATTTTGTGGATAAATAATACGTATTTCCTAGAACTTCAATTTGCTTTTAAATATCTCATCCAAATCAATCTCCTGAGATTAACTATAAATACAAGGGAACCAAAATCAGATTATGTAGATTTAGGCTTGGGAAGCTAGGAACCAATAACCAACACGCCAAGTTCATCAACAACATATTACAGGGTGCAGTTTCCTGTTAGCAAGCAAAGGCACCAAGAAAATGGGTTGAGCACAGGAATATTGCACATTGTAGTTATCCACACTAATTCAACAGCTAGCGGCTCTTTGCTCACGTTCCTCGTGGCCTCTGACAAGTCATCATTTCAACCTATGAGGCTGTCCGCTTTACCCCATCGAAAATAAATGTCTGTGCAGGTTGTAAAATCACCCTCACAAACTACTTGCCTACCTCTCCCAGCCTCGGGATGAGCAGCGCCCAGAAGAGGGAAAGGTCGTATTGACAGGGAAGTTCCATTAAGTGGTCCTTCTCGCGGTCGGACGGGAGCCCTGAGCCCCGGAGGCACCGGGAGGAGGAAGAGGGCGGCCTGTACAGAAGCCCGTGTGGGGCAGAGAATACGAGCCGGCGAGGCTGCCTCCCGGGTGCCCGGGCTCGGGCAGCAAGAATGGAGGAGGGGAGGCGAGGCAGCGAGGTGCCGAGAGCCGCCGGGTGACTGTCCAGCCCCGCAGCCCGACCCCACCCCGCACTCCGGACCCTCCCAACCCGGGTCCTCGGCGTGCGTTCCGCGTGTGCTGACTCTCCCGGGAGAAAAAGCCACAGTCTCACACAGCAGGAGTGAGAAATTCCGGCAAGTTTGAGTGATAAAAGCTTCCTACCCTACTACATGCCGAGGTAGAGAAAAATGTCAGGCGATGACGAGGAAGAGGGGTATGACTTACCCATGTTCCTCTCAGAGAGTGAGGAGCCAGCAGGGCGAGGCGAAGGTCTCTCCGGTGCAGGCTGCGCGGCACTGTGTCCTCCCTCTACCTCCTTCTCTCCTGCAGCCAGGGAGGGACCCGCGGGGGGCGGCCGCCGGGGAGGAGC